CAGTTTCATAAATCTTTGAGAATGTGTAGTGCTTCAAGTCCATAAACAGAACTGTTTTGTTTTAGAAGTGAGATTCCATTTTAATACTTCCTAAGAGATGTTCATTAATTATCACTGGTAATGGTTGTTTTACTATAGGATCGAGGAAGTCTTGCCATGGATCACTGTGGATCCCATTGTGTTAGGTACCATACAAGAGCAGAATAAAAGAATGATCCCCATCACACAGAGCTTATAACCTAAGTTTTGTCTTTGATACAAAATAGGGACCTCATGACAGGTGATACTTGGCATAACACTTGGCATAATACTGACTCTGGTCCCACTGATATTGGCCACTGACTTCTCTTGACATCACACAACTCATTTTCTTCCATGTGACTACACCTGCTATTGAGGAAGTTGCCTGTTAGCGCTGTAGGATTATGCCCTAATATTGAAAGTGTATCCTCTTTCATTCACCAACTTGAACAATAACATTATAACTTGTTACTAGTTTCTATGCATATTTTAATATGCAATATACCATTAAGTGCTATTTTAAAATCTGCAAATACTATGTCACTTCAGAAGCTTTTGCCGTATAAAATATAACATTGTGCTACTATAACCTATTGTAAAAAATTCTGGGTTATTTGTCCTTAGGCCTTGAACTAAATCCAGTCAAGACTGAGAAATCTTGGTAACAAACACTAGAATGGTCTGAAATTATACAACAACATTTACTGTTCCTCAATGAAGTTGAGATTAAGAAGCAGTCAATAACTTTTCAATCATTCTACTTGGTGTTCACATTTGCAGTTTTCTACTAAAAGTCTTAATGTGAGCTCTTAGGTTTGTTTTCAGTGGTGTTTTAATGGGTGTATATATGTTGTTCTTTTCTAGGTGATAGGGGTATGGATGAATAAACTAGGATCCCTTTACATATAGCCATCCTATCTGGCTTCTGTTGGGACTGGGTGCACAAGATAGAACCAATTTTTTGGAGGCATGTGTGTACATACACCTGAGAATGAAGGCAGAGAAAGAACTGGAAAAAATAGAGACTTGGAAAAGAAAACACAGGAAGGGTAAGGAAGAGCCATGGAATGCAGTCTCTGGTCCTTGGGCAGAAATGTAGGTAAAATCCCAAATGCATAAGTGATTTGTCATTTGTCTTTTGGGAGCTCCCAGACTACTATGTACTCTGGAGGTATTTCTGTGCTGAGAAGCTGTTATGTATGTGGAGTGTTTATATAAGATAAATTAACATAGCATGTATTATTACATGAAAATACCAAAACATTTTATGCACACTCACTTCAGCATCATGACCTGGAAGACTGTTCATTTTGAGAGAGGATACTGCCAGCTCCTGAGATCTGCAGGAAAGGAGCCTAATCACTGCAGATCTTAGAGGAGAAAGTAGTAGAGAAGGGAACAGGGTGAAGAGGATACTTAAACAACTTGGCAGAGATCAGCAGCCATACTAAGGTACCCAAGAGGAAAGAATATCCAGTCAACCTTAGGAAACTCCCAATACATAGAGATGCAAAAGATTTGCAGTGGGCACTCTCTTTTTGAGCTTTAAACTGTTGGGAGGTCATTTTTTTAAACTCTGAAACACCCATAGGGACCATTTGTGATCCTTTTTTGTCTTAAGTACTGTATGCAGGCACACTGGAGGACTTCTGAGATTGGATGTGGCCAAAGAAGCCAAAACAGATGAGTTTGGCCATGTCTGTGACGCCACATACCACATATTTAGATGTTCACACTGCAAGGGCGCACTGCCCATGTGTACACTGCTCCGCTTTTTTCCCCCCATGGGTTTTTTTGACTGCTGGATATCCAGGGGTCAAAAAATCCTGCGGGGGGGAAAAAAAGTGGAGCAGTGCAGACACGGGCAGTGCACACCACTCAGAATGAAGCTGGACCACCCAGAACCATGCTCTGGCTGTTGGCCAGGCTCCACATGATAGAATCTCCATCCTTTGAGGTTTTTAAGACCATGCTAGATAAAGCCTTGGCTGGGATGATATAGTTGGGGATGGTCCTAGTTGCACCATCCCACAGGTGCTGAAGGAATTGGCCAGTGTCATAGCTGAGCCACTGGCATGGCTGTTTGAGCACTCATGGTGCTCCAGCCAGATCCCTGAGGACTAGAAAAGGGCCAACATGGTGCCCAATTTGAAGAAAGGAAGAAGGTATGATCCTGGTAGCTTTAGGCCAGTCAGTCTTACCTCTATCCCTGGGAAAATACTGGAAAAAATCATCGAAGTGCGTATTTGTGAAGGCCCAGCAGGGGAAATGATGCTGAAAGGAAACCAGCACAGGTTTGTCATGGGTAGATCCTGCCTGACAAACCTTATAGCCTTTTATGACCAGGTCACATGCTGCCTTTACACAGAAGCTGAGGCTGATGTCATCTATCTGGATTTTAGGAAAGCCTTCAACACAGTTGCACATCCTAGTCTCATAGGGAAGCTAGCAGGGTGTGGAGTGGACACCTACACAGTCAGGTGGGTGGCCAACTGGCTTAGGGACCACACCCAGAGAATGGTGGTGGACGGGTCATTCTCAGCCTGGAAGGAGATGGGCAGTGGGTCCTGCAGGGTTCGGTCCTTGGACCAGTGTTATTTAATATCTTCATCAGCGATTTGGACAAGGGTGTGGAGAGCGCCCTCTCCAAGTTTGCAGATGATACCCAGTTATGGGCCAAAGTTAATACACTGGAGGGCAGGGAGCAGATACAGGCCAACCTGGACAGGTTGGATCAATGGGCAGAACAAAATAGGATGCAATTCAACAAAGATAAAGGTAAGATACTCCACCTAGGAAGGAGAAATCCCCAGCACACCTATAGGTTGGGGGATAACCTCGTCAGCAGCTCAGAGGCTGAGAGAGATCTTGGAGTCATAGTTGACTTCAAGGTGAACATGAGCTGGCACTGTAACAAGGCCATCAAAAAGGCCAATCACACCTTGCCGTGTATTAGCAGATGCATGACCAACAGATCAAGGGAGGTGATGCTCCCCCTCTATGTGGCATTGTTCAGGCCGCAGTTGGAGTATTGTGTCCAGTTTTGGGTACTGCACTTCAAGAGGGACATGGAGAATCTGGAGAGGGTTCAGAGAAGGGCCACTCGCATGATTAGTGGCCTCTGTGAAAGACCCTATGAGGGGAGGTTGAGAGATCTGGATCTCTTCAGCCTTCACAAGAGATGTCTGAGGGGAGAACTTGTAGCCACCTGTAAGTTTATCAAGCGAGGACAACAGGGAATTGGTGATGCATTATTTACCAGAGCACCCCAGAAGTAACTAGGAATAATGGGTGCAAACTAATGGAGAGTAGATTTAGGTTAGACATTAGGAAGCAATTTTTTTACAATAAGGGTGGCCAGAATCTGGAAAGGGCTTCCAAGAGAGGAAGTACTATCATCTAACTTGGAGGTGTTCAAGAAGAGGCTTGATAGTCACCTTGCTGGGGTCATCTGACCTTGGTCCTCTTTCCTGCCAGGGGCAGGGGGTCAGACACAATGATCCATTGTGGTCCCTTCCGACTCTACAATCTATGAATCTATGGTTTGAGCAGGGGTTTGGACTAGATGATTTTCTGAGGTCCCTTCCAACCCTAATTTTCCATGATTATACATTCTTTTAAGTTGTCAGTACTTGTATAACTACCAGTTAATGGAATGGACTAGTACAGTGGTACCCAACATTTTTTTGGCTGCACAGGCCAAATGAGTGGCATATGGCCAGTCTGTGGGCTTCATGAAGTCAGGTCAAAGGCTATGCACTGGATCCAACTCCATGCAATAGTTCTGGCCATGGAAATGACCCATGCACTCGCCCATGTTATCCACAGCCCATGGAGCTCTGGGAGTTGTGGCAGTGAACACTGTCACTGCTTTCTACTTTCTCCTTCCTCCTCCAAAGAAATTTCCCAAACCTATCAGGAACCCCCCAGATACAGCCCGCAGGCTGTACTTTGAGCACCACTGGAATAACAACATTCTACAGTAGCCGATTCCCTCCATCAATCTCTCACCTACCATATCTTTGTTCCTGTTTATTGTATTGAGGAGGCAGTCCCTGGAGGCCAGGAGTATCTCCAATGATGTTCCCCCCTTCTGGCTGGGGATTTCTAGCTTCTCTTGGGGGTGGTTTCCCTTTAAAGACAGCCCTGCTCAGCCCTTAAAGCACCAATTGGGACTTTGGCTGTCCTGACCATGGCCTGTTTTTCTTTTTGCCAAGCCCTCAGCCCTGGTCCACTACCTCAGACCTTGTGCCCTTCACATCCCTGCTCGGGACAGTTTATTTTGCAGAGTGCCCCTAGCAGCCTGTCCCATGGCTTCCAAACCTCTCCTGTATTCACTACCCTAACCTCTGGTCAAACTCAAACACAAAATACCACCTAAACAGCTTTAACTGAAATAAACCCCTCCAGGTCTCTCTTTCTTGAGCCCTCCTAAGTGAACAGGTGTATTTCCACATCCCCAGCCCACCAGGTACATTGCCTGGACCAGCCTGACTCCAAACTGCTATGCAGTGCTCTTTTCCCTGAGGCAGCCAGGGTCAGACTTTCAGCCTACAGCAGGATCCCAGGTCACAAGCATCAGCTTGCAGCAGCAAAAGATTGCTGACCCTTGGCCTGGGTAATCAAATACTGATATGAATTTAAGAAAGCTTTTAGGACCTATTTACATACCATTTTATGGGTCTTTTTAATTTATAAATAGGAAACACTGCCCAGGGGATGTGTTGGATCAGTGCATCGTATGAGCCGCCTCTACCAGTGAAAATTGCTCATGAAGCCTTGTTAACAACTTAGAGGTATTCCCTTCCCACAGAAACCTAAGAGAGAACAAGTAGTAATAACCCCATATGAGGACCATGATGATCACCAACCAAAGGAAGTTGTGCCATAGTGAGTGAATCTATGTGAACAGGTTGAACTATGTCAGTTTTGGTGGAAAGGAAAGAATTATGAACAGTCATTTTTAATTAATACTATAATAACATGGTGGTATTCTATATTTATTTCTATTGAAACGAAGTAAGATTATTCCATAGACAATGGTATCACAATTAAATTTACATAACATCTTGTTTAGCAGGTATTTGTCTGATGTGTTTATTCTGGACCATCATTAGTGCAGAGTGTTATGCTTTTGTTTGTGACTTATAATCTTCTCCAACAATAGCTGCATAAAATGTTATAAAAAATGAAAACACGATAAAGGATTCTTATTAGAATTCTAGAAGCAAAAAACAACATTAATGGACACAGAGAGAACTTTGCTCATTTAGGTCAAAAACCACTGATCGGTAATACAAAAATAGGCATTGAATCCTTGAGAAATATCAGATAAAAATTAAGGTACCTGGGCAGTGAAAACTAATAGCTTGAACAGACATAGTGTAGTACTAACAGTCCATGAAGCAATTGTGTTAAAGTATAACTTGAGGAACAAATTCCATCACTAACTGCGAAATTTCATTTTTATGCCGCTGTTGAACTTAATTTAACAGGCTTTTTAAATGCCTTATTATTTTGATTCTGTCTGTCTATAGAAAAAGTATTCTATATCTTGCAAAATATTATGGGTGCACCTTTTACAATTGTATTTGACCAGTAATTACCCTTCTGTAGATCTCTTTCGTCAAAGGAATATAGGATTTCACATGCTCATCCAAGAAATAGAGAGGATCACATATAATTTCTGGATTAAATCCTTCATTCACGAGATGTCCTTTCTGATGCTTGAAAGTTGTAGTAGTTTTCATAACCTCCTAAAAGCAAATAATGAAAATAAAGTGCAACACTTAAATACAAATGGAAAAAAAATGTGATTAGTGAATAAAATGGCTGTCTATTTTAGATGGCTGTGGCTTACTTTGGAAAGGATGATCTAACTACCTACACTGCATGCATGATTATGATAATGCACTAAATATCAAAATCTGATTTTAAAAGTAACCTCCTTTAAATTCATCTCTATTAAAGCCACAGGCAAACTGATATGTTTTTGTTTTTAAACTGGGATTGAACCTATTTGATTTGATTTTACTTCCATTAATGTATTAAGTTCACAGACTACAGTTTATGGTCACTAGCTGGCAGTGTGCACAGAGCTGGCTGATTATGTGGTGTTGGCTCTCGTCTTGTTTCCAGCGGCTAAAATTCATTAAAGACAGTTACCAATATATTAAATACTTTCCTGATGTTAGGGGTTTTTTAAATGTAAACAATTGCTGTAGCTGCTGCAGATGAGTATGGGATTACGAATTCATGGGTAAGGTAGACCACACCCAATAGCAAATGAGAAGGGAAGTAGAGCATGAAATATCTCTAAATTTTGATTCATGCTAGGAGGCAAGTTTGAGAACCTCTGGACTTTTGCTTTTCATGTAGTAAAGACTTAAACTTCATTCTCATTTTAAGAACCTATTTGTTTTTCTCTTGATCTGTAATATGATTAATTCACCCTAGCCACATTCTCCAGGGGTCAGTCTTTAGGTTCTATACTGAGTCTGCTAATACATTTGCCAATTAGAGTGCAGACAGAAGTGCATCTCCCTGTTTTGTAACTGAGAACACTGCAGGAAGCATTCTGAGGTACAGCAATTCCCTGGACCAAACAGAAGTTCACTCTTGGTTCCAGTGGGGAGAGGAATCTAGCTGCTTGTTGCGAGTCTACAGCTAGTTTCCCCTGGCAGTGGCCTCTGCTCTCTCCTAGGCCTCACTTTCAGAATGGAAAGGAAAAAGGGAGAAGAGAGAGCTCATGCCACAGGTTCCCCAGCTGTTGCTGGAGGGTGGAGCAGGTGTATCGGAGCCCTCCTGAAGCAGGGGGCTCTAATACACCCACCCAACTCTCCAGCAGGGGCTGGAAAACCCTCAAACCGAACTCCCTCCTCTCCCTTTCCCCTCTTCCCATTCTGAAAACTTTGCAAGGCTGGAAGGTAGCGCAGACAAGTTACAAAAGACAGTCTGTTTTGAAATGTCTTCATCTGATCCTTCATGAATTGAGGGTTGAGATTTTTGTCCAATCAGCCATTTTTGAAGCAGTCTGCAGCCATGCACTTGTGTTTGGTCATGGCTATAAACCACTTTTTGTGACAAGATTGGGTGAAAATTGTCACTTCTGTCTGTGCCCTTAGTTTCCTCTACTGGCAGTTTTTGTGAAAGTAACCACACTGGCATTTTGTACAGGCACTGAATAGCTGCTAGCTGGTAATAACTTTCAGTCATTACTCACTGGTTTTAATTTGAAGTTATTAGCCAAAGAGCTTGCATTTCCACATTGTCCATATTGCTGTAGTGGTTTAGATTTGAAATGTTAATAAGAAACATTCACTAATTTTTTTTTAGGGAAAAAATGGATTATATATAGAGTTTTCTGTGGGAATGAATTTCTGATAGAAAAGATCTTTCTTTTTTCAAAATGAAGACCATCTGCATGAAAACTTAAGTACTGGTGAAAAATTTGGTTTATCCATTAGAAAAGTTTAAATGATGACTCCTCTGCTGCTACGTGGAAAGGTCTTACTAATTTCACTTTCAGGCACAAAATGAAATTAACAAAAAGCCAAAAACATGATTTTTCAGCTAGGGTTTTCTATTTGGATTGAAAGGAACTAAAACTAGAAATGCATAAATATACAACAATTCAGTTTTTACCATGCACTAAGCTGCTCTCTCCTGAGTCCGTAAATTCCAAAATCTTTTTCCTAAGAAGAATGGTCCATTTGCTAATGACAGTTGGATGCTTCAAGGTATATCTATTTGTACTGCAGGATTACCTGCATTCTATTTGGCTTTTGGCTTAGTAACAAACTAAAAAGCCATAAACTCAAGCTACTGCTTAAAGGACAGATAAACAGAGTCAAATCTTTGCCATCTTTGTGGAGCACAGGAAGTAAAATCTCTGTTGTCCCCTTCTGTATCAAACCCCCGCAGTTCCATAAAGAAAAGTTCAACGACTATTTTCCCAGCAGAGGGCACTGTTGTTCTAAAGCATCTTGTTGATCAGCTCATCTACTAGTGTTCTGACTTAACTGTAAATCTACACTGACAGCATTTTGAAAGCACTTTATCAGGTATGCTTCCCTTCTATAAGTTACAAAACCTCTTCTGAATTCTTAAAACTACATCTTTTACTAACTTCCTGCCTACTCTCTTTATGCTTTACCTTCACAAATTACTCCATACTCATTTTGTCCTTTCCCTCATTATTCCTTCCATTCTCCAGTCCTTCTCTGTAATATAGCTTCATTCTACATCTTGGTTTAAGGGTGATTTGTTTTCGGACACAATTATGTACCTAAGTGACATTTATGCAGCCAATGTAATCTCAAATTTTTGGTACTTGCATAACATTTGGATAAGGAAGTCAGCATGTGCTCACTGAACATACCCAGTAGAGCTGTATATTGTCCGGGTAGATATGCAGTGGCATACACCAACCTATGCATGAGACTAGATAAAGCCTGAAACTCTAGCCAGGCACCATCTCATGACTAGGATCACAGGAGAGTAGGGAAGGAAAAGACCTCACAAGGTCATCTCATCCAGCCTCCTGCTCAAGGCAAGATCATTCCTGACTCAGTCATCCTAGCCAAGTGTCTATCCGATTTGCACTTGAAAAATTATAATGATTTTCCAGTGATTCCACAATTTTTCTCAGTAGCCTGCTGGTATGCTTGACTACACTCACAATCAGAAAGTCTCCAACCTAAACTTCTCCTCCTAAGGCTTGAAGCCATTGCTCCGAAAACTGTCCTATACAGCTGCAAAGAAAGCCTGTCTCCAACCTCTCTATAATTGCCTTTTGGATATATGAAGACTCTTATCAAATCCACTCCCCCTCCATCTTCTCTTCTTCAGATTAAATAACCCTAGTTCTTTCAACCTTTCCTTATGAGTAATATTTCCTAGGAAAATCATTTTTGTCACTCTGTGCTGAAGTAAAAACAAATACCACTTCATTGGAATAAGTTAAAAGCAAGCTTCAGGGCTGTGAAATAAGAGCTACATTACCAGGAGCGGCTCATAGATAGCAGCATTGCAAAAGAACAGCTAATTTGATGAGTGTAACACGAAGACCATTTAAAAGGAAAGATGGTCATTAGCACCTGTAGAATGAAGAGTTTAGAAGGAATCAGGTAGAATATAATGAGGCATGAAGTCAAGTCACAGAAATACTTTTGCCTGCTGCCACTGCCAGGAAGTTAGTTTTATCTATCTGTGATTAAAGCTATACTGGAAAGCATGAAATGTGTAGATTCATGCCTCCTCTGAGTGAGGGGACTAGAACTTGCTCCATAGGCAAGTACACTGTTTACAGAAGTGGTGGGCAAAATGGCAGCTCTGGCCAGTGGCTGGACTCCCTTTCCCAGCAGCCCCTGCCTGTGCGGCTCCTGACTGTTCTCCATGGATCCAAGACCATGATCTTGGGGTGGTGACAGTGCAGGTTCACGGTAGAGCTGCAATCCACTCCCCGCATGTCTCTGCCTGCAGAACTGGCGCTTATCACAGGGGTGTGCAGGCAGTGGATCATGGTTCTGGCCCAGCCCTGTCCCTGTGCTATCACTGCCCCAAGATCCTGGAGTCTTTCCAGCCCTGCCCTTCCATCTCACTCCTGGCGGCAGCCCCATCCCAGCTGACCACCCATGTGGGTACTGCCTCTGGTGGTGGAGATGGGCCAGGGTGCTTGGCCTGGTGGTGGCAGCTAGAGGGAGCTGCTGCCACAGGGGCTGCTGGGAAATGGAGTCTACTGTAGGCCCAGTCCAGCCCCAGGGACAGACTTTGCCCACCCCTGATCTGTAGGATTAAAACCAGGGAGAACCCTGCAACAACACCACCACCACCGCCTTGCTTCTTATGGGAATGTGTGCTAAACCATCCTAATTTGCCACAGGGAAAACAGAATCTCAAACCGTGTATAAGTGCCAAAAACTTCAGTTACATGGGTGCATATATGCCATTTATGTTCATTAAAAAAAATAGGATTTTGCCTAATCTGTTTTGGGGGGACCATGCAGAACTGTAGAACGTATTCCAGAACACTCTGGCACACCAAAGTGGGGGCTGTTGGCCCTGGCACCCCCCAAGAGAGTGTAATATGGGTATTACACCCCCTTAACATGCCATAAAAAGAATACCTGTATTAAGGGTCTGAGTCCATGCATTCTTGCCCGGTCTTGCTCTGGGGAGTATAGGAAGGGAGCAATTTGTACCCTTCAAAAGTGCTATCTCTGCAATTGCATCCCACTGCTGCTGTCTTTCTGGAGCTGAGAGCAGTAGGGCCCAATTTGGCCCTTGGATTGTAATGTCTTCTGAGCAGAATGTGTGTCCTTTATCTTTTGTAAAGTACCATGTCACTCTTTGAATTTGTATAAGTAAATAATTAATAATGATCACTTCAGGGACATGCACATTGAGAAATGCTTTTAAATTAGTTTATGTCTTCATTTTATTTATGGTTGGTGTTATCACACATTTGCATTTGCTCACTTGTATAGTGGCACAATTTTTAACGGGAAACATAATTACTTACCCAGTGTTACCAGCATTACCTAAGATATTTAGTACTGAATGGATTTATAAAGTGAAATATTTTTCATTAATTATTGAAAACATATTTGTTTATGTTTAGAAGAATAACACTAAAATATTTAAAAGCTTGGTAGGATTTTTTCATTTCCTTTCTTAACTAACTTTTGAAGCTAAGCTGTCTGTAAGTGGCTTTGTTGGTTCAATAAGAGAAGGCCAATTTGCAGGAGAAACAAAATCATAAGCATAGGAAAGAAGATTTTTTTTTTTTTACCATGATTCTCACAAACCGTGGCTGGGCATATCTTGGTAGGAAGTCCATGACGTGTTCATAAAGTCTCTTTCCATCAAACTGTTGGTCAGAAATAAGAACTATAGCTACCATCCCTATCCTTCCTTCATAACCTAAAAAAAAAAAAGGAAAAAAAAAATTCTTACGAACATGCCTTCCCATAATAAAAAAAATAATCTTGTATTCCTCAGCTTTACAGTACTTACTAATGCTGACACAGGATTTTGCCCAGTGTACAATAAGTAAGGTCTGAGAATGCTCTCCCCCATTTTTAGGATTATCCAAGATAAGATCCATTCTTTCATTATTTCATTTTGCAACATTTTAAACGCATTTCAGAACAGGGAGTTTATGTAAAAGATGCCAGCCATTTCTGTTGTTTATCTGGAATTCTTTCAGAGTGAAAACCATGTGTTATGGAGGGACAGCATAAGGCCCCTTCACTGCTTAAATTCTGTGCTGGGGATGGAGTGGCTAATGACTGCATGGGTCACTGCTAACTGGATACTGTCCCATAAGCCTTGTACAGAAGATGTGATGGGGTGGGCTCAGGCTTATCATGTGGCCAATTGGGGCACATCAAGGGAATGCAAATGATGTAGAGAAACTACATTTTCTTTTCCATGTTCTATATCAATGGTGCTCAGTCTCTGTCCTTCAAGCCAGATCCTACTCTCAGCACTGTGTCATCTCACCCTTGGGGCTCTCCAGCACTCCCCTGCTGTCAAATTTTCAAGGCCAGCAACCAGATGACATGGCTCCATACACCCAATCCACTTTGTCAAGTTCATTTAGGAAGCAGCTATGATGGTGAGGTTATGGCTGTTCTTTATTAGCACACATTTGGATGCAACAATTTCACTGGCAAATACAAGACACTTACACAAGTTGCACTTTTCATGCTATTGGGGCCCCTGAAAGTACTCTACAACTGTGCTGTGACACATGCACGGCTGCAGAGCACTTTTAAAATGGTAAATTGCACAAAAAATTAACTGTCCCCACATGAGCTACTGGATGAAGGTGCTATGCTTTAGAGCTGCTTAGGGAACTTGTGTTCCCTAGGGTTCATTTTTCATGTTTTGCAGGCTGGACTGATGCAGCCCAACCCCACCCCCAAGGGCTGTCAACAGGGGGAGGAGGATAGAGGGAGCAGCACTGAGCTGCCAGCTGGGGTTTGCTGCCTGGCTGGAGGTGGCAGGGTGGAACAGAGCTTCCCTGTCTCACAGCCTGCCCCCAAGCTACCTCAGCTGGGCTATTGGGGGGGAGCCTAACTGGGTCCACAAGGCAAGGGGGCTCCATTCCAGCCCTCTCCCCTCTAGCTCAAACGAGGCAAAGCAGAGAGGGGGAAAGGAGAAGCATAAGCTGCCAGGTTCCCCAGCCTGAGCTGGAGTGGGGACAGGGGGGTGGGGCATGGAATGGAGCTCCCATTCCTTGTGGGCCCAGCCTGGCTCCCCCAACACCCCAGGTGGGGTAGCTGGGGGAGGGGTGTTGTAAGGTGAGGAAATTCCATTCTACTCTCCAGCCCTCCAGCTCCAGCCAGGCAGCAAACCCCAGCAGGCAACTCTGGTGGGGGACAGGCTGGGCTGGGAAGAAAGGTAGTTTAGCAGGCTCATTAGAAGCTTCTGGAGTGCTCCTGCCTGCTGGCCAGTGCAGACAGGCTCCAGCCCCCCTGGCCCAATAGGTAAATGTCTGTTGGGTTGGGGGGGAAGGAGTAGCTCTAACTCATGGTGCTTTGTATAAAGTGCCATGAGTTAGAGCATGGCCGAGATACATCTGTCAGCACCCACAGTGTTTGGCAAGTGCTTTGGGATTTTCTGAGCCTAAAGTTGTAATAAATGCATGGAATGGTATCAGATTACTGCAATCAAACTGCGGTATCCTCAAAAGCCAGGCAGCTCTGCTGTAGGTTGTTTTAATGTGAAGAGCTGCATGGTATTTATTGTCATGCTCTACCAGATAATAGCAGTAATCCTTCTGCAGACTTACCTGTCAATAGTACTTAATACCAAGCTATTTGTATCCAATTGGGAGCTCCATTTGCCCTAGTCTGTACAAATTGGAAAATCATTTGCTAACTCTCCACATGTATAATTGCATGTAATTAAGTATGTAATACTTATCTCAACTGTTCAAAACAAAGTAATTGTGGAATGTGAAGTAAATAAAGACTTTGTCGGGAGTCTGGAAAGTATCTGCTTTTTGGGAAAATTGTTTAAAATTTCATGCCGTGTGGTACATTCCAATAGTAAAAATATTTATTCTCTAGACATATATTGAGGAGACAAGGACAAGCCAGTCCAGATATGCATGTATTTCTCACACCTCTATCAATCCTTTTTAAATTCTTCTTGACTTTTCTGCCCATCCATAGAGACTTTCACTATTTCCTGTGCATCAAATATTCTGTTACATTGTATTTCAAAATCTCATTTTCAACTGATAAAGTAAATTCTGAGTTGTTGAGTAGGCCCCACTGATTGCCTTTTATATATGAGTTAACTTATCCTTCAAGTTAAACAGATGGAAGAATATAATAAGAAAGTAGTATATTGCTGCTGCCATTTTAACATTCTGAAAGTATAAGAGTTTTCTTACCTTTTACACTCACTCCATATACATTGGCCTCTTGAACAAAGTCCAACATACCAATGACTTCAGAGACTTCTAGAGTGGCAACATTTTCTCCCTTCCATCTAAGGAAAAAGATTGTATCAAAAGCACATGACATATCTCATGCTGTATATTTATGTTTACATATAATAGGTACTTGCCATTATTATGTCACTGTTATTTATAAGTGAAAAAAAGAGCTAACTAAAGCATTTTGGATTTACCTTCTCTTCTGCAGATGCATCTTTAAGACATAGGAAAATGCTTCTGAACTAGACATTCAAGAGTTCTACACCTGTGAGAGCCTTGTCAGATTTGCCTATGACTGACCTTCCCTGGGCCTGTTTAATTTTGTTCCCTTTCTGGAACTTACCCAGCAATTTACTTTGGAAAGCTGGATCTTAATGTGGATTCACAAATTACAGAGCAAATACAAATACAAGGTTAAGATGGTTCAAGGCTCAAGGGCAAGATTGTGCCTGAGGAGAAGATAAGGAGTGGCAGACGTAGGCCTTCTCAGGTAGAAGTGGGATAGGATTTTCAAAAAGCTACATCATAGAGATCAAAAGCTAGAGCCAACAAGGCTCTCATTATTAAACACTAAGGCTATTCAATTTATTAAGACCTAAACCTAAACCAGCCTCTAACCTGAGGTCAGAGACATTTTCTCTCTTTCATATAAAACCAAGCACACTGGTGACTTGCTCAAAAATTGTAATAAAAGCTTCCCTTAAAGCTTCTGACAAAAACAAAACCAATATTCAGCATTCACAAGAGTGAACAATAACTCAATGCTGTATGTGTGTTTCCATCCAACTGCTATTACTATGAACTTCATAACTGCACCTGAAAGTGTCTCCCATTCTGTCAGTGAAGTAGACAAAGCCATCCTGGTCTATCAGCAAGAGATCCCCAGTGTTAAAGTATACATCTCCTTTCACAAATACATCTCGTAACAATTTCCTTTCTGAGGCTTCTTGATTTCCAGCATACCCAGCAAACGGTGCTGATTGAGACACTTGGCCAACCAAAAGACCTGCTTCACCTGAAAGAGAAAAAGTTACCTTAAGAGCATAGAGCATAAAACATTATACTGAAGTACCTTAAAAATGTCAAGACCTCCATACTACAATGTTCATATAATTATCTACAGAACAAGAAAAATAACTGATGAAGAGAAGGTGCACAGCATTACTTTCTTCCCTCCTAAAAATCTGGAACAATGGGCACTTATACACGTGACGCTTTTACCATGTATGCGTGACAAAAATATCATTTTGTGTGACTTAATGGCATACTGTACACATGCAAGAGTTTTGGGCGTTTTAAATGATCTAATTTAGTTTACAAAGTTGCAAATTACAACAATGCAGCTGTCAACTATCCCCCCAGCTGCAGAAAAAAGTATTGGGGCCCACACTGTTTTTGCCTTCAGTGGGCCCATGCAGCCAACAGGAAGCACTGGGACCACCTGAGAATGAGCTGGCTTGCTCCTGGAGCTGCACGGGAAGGTGGCAGGAGGGGAGCTGGGTTTGCTGGCAGCGGGAGAAGGCAGCAGCGATTGTGCACAAGGAAGCCTGGCCAGATACTCCTGCAGCTCAGAGGCACCCGATCCAAAGCTTCCCCAAGCCCAACTGTGCACTGTCTCCGCTGCCTTCTCTGGCTGCCAGCACACCCAGCTGCCCTCTTACCACCTCCCCGTCTTGACCAGGGGCAAGCTGGGCATACTGGTGTGCAGAGAAGATGGTGGGGATGGTGCATGGGGCACTGGATGCCCAGGCAATCTCAGGGAAGTGTTGCATTGGGCACCGAGGCAGTACCCGGTCAACTAGCAGCCTGCCCAGGCTTCCAGCACCCCGTGCACCATCCCTGCCTCCTCCCACTGCCAGCAAACCCAGCTACCCTTCTGCTGCCTTCCCACACAGCCCCAGGGGCAAGCCAACCCATTCCCAGGCAGCCCCAGCCATCCTGCAGGGGCCTGCTGAAGGCAGAAGTGGCAACGGGCCCAATCCTTTTTTTTCTTTCTTTTTTTTTTGGTGGAATCTGCTAACCTCTTTTGTAGCTGGAAGGCAGCACCCACCCCAATCCAACTCTTCCCCAAGCCTGCCTGCTGGAAGCCCTCTGGGAGCTCCTGCGTGGGCTTGGGGAACAGTTGGATTGGGGTGGGTGCTGCCTCCAAGCTGGACAGCACCCAGCCATCTAGCAGCCTGCCTGGGTGGCTCTGGGGGACACTGCAGACATTTAGGGAAGGACCAGGGTCCTCCAGAGCCCAGGGGCTGCTCAGCCAGCTGGTAGCTCATCCCCCAGCTGTGGGCATGCTCCAGCTCTGACAAAAAAAGAAAAAAAGGATTGGGCCCCTTGCCGTAACATGATGGAAAAATTGAAATGGTGGGTTTCAATGTAGGGGGCATAGAATAAAACCCTGAGGACTAAACCACTGCCATGGACAAGCACCCAACGAGAAGAGCTTAAGTCTGGACCTGATCATCCTCTGATCACCAAAGAAATCATTGCAGTGTTTGTTTTCCTGAAATTTTTCCCAGTTTGAACGAATCCCTCTGTGCTTGAATGTGTCATAGAACATGTCCACAGACCTAAAAACTCTCCTTGGGGTTCACATAGAATACAGGATATCACATCTCTACCATAAATCTGGGTCTCAGAAACTCCTGTCATTGGCATTCCAAAGAAGCCGTACTATTGAGGCTTTTGTATTCACATCCTTCCCTTTTGTATTCACACCCCTGAAGGTGACTCTCAACCTGGAACAAGGGATACAGGGAGGGGAGGAGAGATTGCGAATCTCTGTGTGGCCTTTGGGAATTCTTTCCTAGATGTGACTTGCCTCTTGATCCTTGCATTTCCTTGAATAAAAGGACTGTTACCAGCTAGCACTGTTGCCATTAACCTTTCTGTGGTAGGAAAGAGTAATAATGTGGTCCCATAACTTTTTCATACTGGCCCTGTTTAAGGGGAGAAGGCACATGCTATATCCTATAGAAGGATAGTGCACAGTAAATATTTTCTCAGTATATTGTATCCATGGGGGTTATTGACCTGTATCTAAATCTGTTTTTGAGGTTAAAAGATATTTACAACTTCAAGAGATATTGTTTATTTCCAACAACAGACACACAAAGACTTTTTCAAACACTCATTTTTCTTCATAGTTGCATATCAGACCCTGTTATTAAAAATCCCTCTTTATGGTTTTGAACTCTAGATACAGGGGAATAGAAAGGGAGGGACCAGATTACAGCTCAGGAAAACAGCTGGTAATACCGCAAATAGGATGCATGCTTTAAAAAACAGGAAAAAAGAAGTAAATGGGACAAAGTGCAGTGGGTTTTACATGGTGTGATCCTTCATGCTAGATTTAGATTGCCGTTTCATGACCCCCTGATTTTACTTTAAGTATTGAGTTCATGCTAAATAAAAAATGTAGATTACAAGGGTGTCTTCTGAACATGCTATTGGTAAATATCAAGTGCTAGAGTCATATGGCTAGAGCCAGCCAACAAATAGTTCATGAGTTAAATCTGTTCTAATAGTTAACTATGATTGACAGATTAAACACCCTTGAGTTTCATAATGGTACTCTGTACTTTGGTACCTTTCATCTGAGGACCTCACATCACTTTACAAACATTAATTAATCCAGTCTCACAGAATAATATTATGCAACATTACTGTGTCAATTTTAACTATGGGAAAAGCTGAGGCAGAAACAGAAGACTGCTTTTTCTCACAAGTCTGTACCAGATGAGGATCCAAAAATTCGGAGTACCTAGAGTTCTGAGTGACTAGAATGGATCAGCAACCCCTAGCATGCATTCCAGAGCATGGCATGCAAAACCATTTTGCTTGGCATATCACAGCTGGACTGGCCCCCTGGCTACCAGCCATGGAGCCTGGGCTGCTTGCAGAGGGCAGTGGGGAGGCTGTAAGCAGCTGCACTGGGGTCCAGCTCATCCCCGGCCCAGCTCATCACCAGTAGCTGGTGCACACATGCCTCAGGGTGGATGGCAGGGAAAGGACCAGGCCTGCATTGCCACAACAAGGATCAGGTCCCTCGCAGCTCCCCCGCCATCCACCCTGGCATGCCAATAACATACAAATTGAGGTATTGGGATTTTTTGTCACTCTGCCCAAAAACATTACCAACCCCTGAACTAGAATATACTAGTATTAGTTGTTGTCATAGCAGTATCATAGCTCTTAGGATCCCAAGCTATAGACCAGAGCCCCATTGTTTTGGGCACTCCACATATGAAGCAAAAAGACAGTCCCCACCCCAAAAAGCTTACAGTCTTAAGTTATGATTCCCCTTATAACACAGTTCCCCTCTACCCCTTACAACACATGATCCCTGCTACCTGAGAAGTAAATTGAAAATCCCAACACAGTTCATAGCACCATGGGAAGTATCCGAGCTGTTGCAAAGTGTGAAACACTATAAATCAGCTGTTAGCCAAATAGTATCAGATGGCATCTAGGCCTGGTTTTTTTGTCTGTTTAGTTTTTGTTTTTATTATGCATTACAGCTATGAATATATTTGGAGACATAAGCAATTTGTATTTTTCTTTACCTTTGAGTGTTTTTACACACCACCCATGTTTGTCCTTCACAGGTTCCTCTTTCCAGACATCATATTTAAGCAGTTCAAAAGAATGGAGGAACTAAATTAAAAAAAAAAAGCGCACAGACAATTAAAAGAAAACCTCCACATGAGGGATGCTAGTAAAAGGCATGAACCAAACTCCGTTTAAGTAAATGCAAACTCTCCTATTGACTTCAGTAGACTTTGGAGCATTCCCAAAATGTACTTCCATTAGAATGATGAGGGAAAACTTCACTGCTCCCGTATGATGAAGAAACCATTCATTTGTTGGCAAACATTAAAATTAAAAGCAGGAGATATTCATCTCCTTTCTTGATGAGGAAAGGAAAAAAGAAATCCAGAGCTTGAGACTATCCTCAGAATTGCAGTATTTAAGATGATATTAAGAGGAGGACTAGGGATGAGTGGTCAGATACTCTTAATTCTGCTTCAAAAAGAAAACACACTGCTGTCCATTTCAGTAATATATTATCCATTACTAGAACTCCAGAGGTTCTTAGAACAATTCTGAATTATACTTCTAGGCATCTCAAAAGTTACTCGATTCAGATGGAAATAGACGTTTAGGGCACAGTTGCTTGATTTAGGTTTTCCTACCTTCATTATTTGTCTTTCAAAGTTAAGATTGCGGAGAGATCAAAGGCATTGCCTATTTATTATTATGGTCACGGGAAGGCATTTTTGGTATCCCGGATTAAAGCCAGAGTCATTCCGGATATCATTATTCTGTTTTATGTCAATTGATTTACTTCTTTATTATCACTGTTTTTGAATTTTTTGATTGCATCTTAGTTTTTGTGGTCCACATCGACCCAATGCCATTAAGAATAATGACTGAAATTGTCAAAGCATTATTATTAGTGGAAGACATCCTAGGCTAAATCTCCTGAAGTTTATTGAAAATCGCAACCAGTATTCTGGTATAGGAGATTTATATTTAAGACACTGTGGATTTACTTTTTTTCCCTTTCTTTTGAAGAGTTTCTGAAAGCCTTTTGGGTCTTTTGTTTATCTTATTTCTGAGAAACAGAGAATGAGATGCAGGGGATTTACTCTAAACCAAACAATAAGTCATTATGTAAGAGTTATTTTTAGGATCTAAGTCTCCTTATTTCAACCAGAATTTGTTCTGCCTCTCCTTGAATGCTATGTTGATAATAACTAAAAATCTATATCATTTGAAAAACACCTTCCTATGCATAGACATTTTTATTAGGGCCATCACTTAATCAAGATTCACACGTGTGATTAATGCTTTAATTGTTGCTTGCTTTCATTTTTTTTTAATGTGTTAATTGCACACATGGTTTTGGAGTCTGCACATGGGCTCCACTCCACTGCTGTCACCGCCGCTTCCGGGATGCCCCACGGTGGCAACGCAGAGGACTGCAGGGCAGCCCAGGCATAGAGTCCAGGTGGCTGCAACAGGTGTAGAGGGGCACGCACAGACATAGACATTAATCTGCAGCCTGCACATGGCCAGGAACGCAGCTCAGTGGCATGTGGAGCAGTGCCTAGCAAGCAAGTCTGTGAAGGGAAAGGGGCATGGGTGGGGCAGATCAAAGCCCCCACAGTGAGGGAGGGAGTGAGGCTGGGGTCAATGGGGTCCCGAGTTGGTGTAGGTCATGGGATGGAGCTGCGGGTGGCTCATCTAGGGGCGGGGGGGGGCTCCCACTGCTGCACAGACTCCAGAGGAGGCATGGGGGGCACATGCTCCCCAGGTTTGTGTGTGGCAGGCTGCCACTGTGGACTGGGTCTCTGCACCCTAGTGTGTTTGCCCCAGGAGCCATGTGCAGCCCGTGCCTCATCCCCTGCCCACCCAGTGTCAGGATATACAGCATGGTGTCACGTGACACAGAGCCCGCCTCCGCCCCACACAGATCCGGAGGACATGTGCCCCCCATGCCACCCCCGGAGTGTATGTAGTGGCAGGAGCCCTCCCTGCACCCCTGGAACCTGTGGTTCCATCCCATGACCTGCCCTGGCCTGGGGGCCCCATTCACCCCAGTCCCACTCCCTCCGTCACCATAGGGGCCTCAATCTTTCCCCCATGCTCCTTCCCTCCCCCATGCCCCTACCCTCCCACACACACTTACCTGCTGGGCGGTGTCTGTGTGTGCGCGTGTGTGTATCTGTCTGTCTGCCTCTCGCTGTCAAGACACAGCCCCCCCCAGCCCTGCTTCTGCCCCTCACTCCTGACCCATAGTACCCCACATCCTGCCAGGGTATGTGGGAAACCCACTCTAGACCCCACACCTTCACAATTTGCCCCCATACACACACACCCCACACCCACCCCGCAACCATATAAAGTACCTGCATAATTTTGCATAACTTTGAGTTTTTCTGCACATAATTTTGAGTTTTTGGCTGTGCAATTAAAATTGTGGTTAATTGCAGCTATTTTTTTTAATCACACAACTAAACATGAGCAATTTTTTTAATTGTTTGGCAACCCTAATTTTTATACAGTGGGATAGTATATTTTTGGCCATTTTTTCTCCATTACACCATTGCATTCCTACTGATTTTAGTAGAATTGTACTGCTGTGAATGGGAATTTATCTTAGAATGTGTTTTAGTGAGGAGGAAGGGGGAAGGTCATTTATTTTTGTTTAAATCAATCAAACATTGCCATATAGTAAATGTGCCCAGACATGTGTTGACTCCCTCATCTCCTCCCTATTTGTGCATTTCAGGTTCAGAGGGAATCTTTCTTTACCTTCGAGAAGATGCTAGCACGGCCCACAGCACCTATTTTATTGACATAGTTGAAAAAACCAATGTTTCCTTCTGTGGAGCCATAGAATTCAAATATTCTAATAGGGCCAAATCTCATCAGAAATTCTTCCCAGACTGCAGGTCTTAGGCCATTTCCTAAAGCAATGCGCACTCGGTGGTCTCTTTCACCTTCATTCTGTGGACAGAAGAAACATTCTTAAATAGTTGACTGGTCCAAACAAGCCAGAGATGGTCAAATATTTTCTAATGGAACAGTTTCTCGTTGGAAGATACTGATTTGCCAAAACTGAAATATTTCAAAGGAATGTATTGATTTTACAGAAATTTATGATAGAACATTATAAAAACATTTTTTTACAGCAGCAGAGAAGGGCAGCCTGGCCATCAAGCCCAAGTGGAAATCACTGTGTGTGACTCACATGACGGGAAGGGGTGGGGCTTTGGGGCATATAAACCTAGTGACTGAAGCAAGTGACTGTAAGCAAGGGAAGCAGTTTGGCCCTGCATGCTGCAGGTAGAGGTGCTCCTGGGAGAGAAGGGTGGCAGAAGACAGAGTGGCAGGAATCCAAACCACCCAGGATATGAGAGCTCAAAGGGAAGCCTGGCTTGCAGGGTGACATTGATCCAGAGTAGGGGAGACTTTTAGCTTGTGAAGCAGCTTGATTGCGTTTATATTATGCTTAAGCTTGATAACCATAAGACTAGATTGTGGCTATGGGGGAGGGGTGGAGGCCACAGAGAGGTTCCTGGTGGGGCATTCAGTAACAGCCTGGCCAGAGGACAGGGGTTCAGAGGGCTAAGGGCTGGTCTGGAGCGTGAGAATACAGTACAGGGTCAGGGGCCTTGAGCATGCAAGTGAGAGACAGGGCTGGGGCCCAGAAGGCAAGGTCTCGGGCAGTGTACCTGGGCTGAGGGGCACAGCCAGAATAAAAAGGCCAAGGCTGGGAAGGTTCAGGGTTTGAGGGTCAAAAGCTGCATTGGGGCCCAGTGGCTCCTTCTGAATGAATATTGAGTAACATCTGTGAGGCATGGCCATGGCTACAGGGCCACAAATATAGCCCAAAAAGCAGCTGGTACCCTGAGGCACTGATAGGGTCAGAAGGGCCATAATTTTGTGCCCAAGGGGCAAGATGACCCAGCTGGTTATGGGAAGTACTAGCTGGCTAAAGTGAACTGGGGCTCAGTCTGGGACCCTGGAGCAGCCTCCCTAAACACCACAAAAGTATCAACAAAGTGTGGCAGGCAAGATGGAAAGGGAAGGTACCCAGAGGAGCCCTTGTGGGGCAGGAATTACTTATTCAGAATATGTGAGAATACTATTGTTATACTACTGACATACTTGATGTTAAACATACCCCAACACTAGGTAGGTCAATCTAGGAAAGTCCTAAATGAGAAGCATCTCATTGTGGACCTTGATTCTGACCACATAAGGTCACTCTGATTATCTATGCCATGGGCAGCATGGGTAGAACATGTTAAATCTTTTTTTTTCAATTCAGTGGCCAAAACAAAAACATGAAAAAATATTCATTTTAGACCAAGCAAAATATTTTTTCCATCCAGACCAAAGCATCTTGTTTTATTTTCAAGTATTTTACCAATTTAATTAAATTTACACATATAACTTTTAAATAAAGCATAGTTTCGGAATAAATGTTGAAATATTTTGGTTTGAAAAAACTGAAACAAAATGTTTTGACTTTCTTAAATTAAAATATATATATTATCAGTCAAATCTATTGTGAATTCACCCCTATTTTGCAAATTCTAAAGTTGTATGTTTCTACACTGTATTTTTCATGTTAAAAAAATTGCCCAGAGCTATTGGTGGGATTCCCTGTAGTGGGGATGCAGATATTACTCTTCATGTAGAACAAATGTTAGGAATGTATGTTTCCGTGCTGTGCTCAGCCACCTCTCTTCCCTTCTTCACTTGTGGTTGTTAGCCCCATACAGGTATAGGTGTTCAAACAATTATGAACCACTTGGTGGTCAAACTATCATGAGTTACTGCACATGCAGAATTAGTGCTGTCCCCTCTCTGTCACATGCTCCACAATGGTGACACTCTACTAAAACATTTGTGCAAAAAAGGCCAGTTCAGTAACAACAGAAACTGATTGTCAGTGTAGATTTTTGAGGTATTATAGATTGTAAGGCAAGAATGGGCCACTGTGATCATTTTGTCTGCTCCCCTGGGTTGGAATGCTGTTGTAATAGCTATGGTGATCCAGAAAATGTACAAGAGGCAGGGGTTTTCTTGTGATTTCTGTTATTGGACCAATTGTGCACTTGGGAGAGATGTTGGACAAGCTTTTCGGCATACAGCACCCTTTTTGAGGTGAATCTGAAAACTTGTCCAATATCTCTCCCAACTATACATTTTGTCCAACAAGAAACATCACAAAAAAACTGTGCTTCTTCTGTATAATACAAGTCTTAGGGCTTCCCTGAATTAATTGGTGTTTGAACTCCTGCCTACCTTGATTTTAAAATGATGGCTTACTCAATAACGTTACTTAAGTCTTTTTTTTGTCTCATTCCTTTATACCTTGTTGCTTCAAAAGTATAGTACTTATCATATAGGCATGGATGTCATATAAGCTTTAAGGAGGTTTGTGCTGCTTCCAGTTGTGGCCCTGACTGTATGGTTTACTACCCTTCCCTGGTTTCTATATGGAAACCAAAGGCCAGCAATGTTTTGTAGTGGGGGTCACTTTAACAGAACTTAGCTGCAAGTACAGGCTGTTTCCAACCCAGCCTGTGCAGCCACCGCTGCAGCTGCAACCACAGCCTCCAACCATGCAGTGCTACCACCTCTGCATAGCATGTGAGTTTGTCTGAAGCTTGCACTGCTAATATAATCATTACCTTCAAGCATGTTACTGGACTCATCCACTCTTTCCTGGCACACTTCAATTTTTTGCTTGCTAAGTCACAATCTTTCTGCTTTTCCTTCCAAATCACCAACTTCCAGACACCTTTCAGAATTTTCTCTAGTACACCTTTTTTATTGTTGGGCCAGATTAAAACACTTTCTCCTTATTCTTTCCTCTATAAAACCCTTCTGCTCCACTAGTCTAGCCTAGCTGATTATTCTCTTATTTTCCTTTATCCTTGGACTGTTGGACTTTGGGGAGTCATCTGTTTTGGTTTGAATTTGGGCCAGCAGCTATTTTGGCTTGGTCACTGCTCCCATTTCACCTTGACTCCTCTCCTACTTTTTGGACCACGTAATCAGGCTTTGTACTAGTCAGCTGATGTGCTGACCTTAATTGCTCCTTTGTTCCTAATCCTCTGAACTGTGCAGTCAGACTCAATTTGAGCCTGATAGTCATGTATTGCTTTATTTTTCAGCACTTCTTCTTCAGCACAATTGCCTGAAGCATAGTAAAAGACTTATAGTTTCATAGTTTCTAGGGTTGGAAGGGACCTGAGCAGATTATCAAGTCCGACCCCCTGCCATGGCAGGAAAGAGTACTAGGGTCAAACAACCCCAGCAAGGTGTATATCTAGCCTCCTCTTAAAAACCCCCAGGGTAGGAGCCAGCACCACTTCTCTTGGAAGTTGGTTCCAGATCCTAGCCACCCTGACCATGAAGTAGCGCCTCCTGATATCTAGCCTAAAAATTTAGCATAGCATAGCCAGAATCTTGCCTTTATAAAGATTGGTTTATGGGGTTTTTTGGCATTTTGGATTTTTTTTAAAATATATAGAAAGGAAAAGGGGCCATTTTGCCATTGATGATACTTGTTGGTCTTTCCTCCTCCCCAAATATTTTTAAAAAAATCATAGAAACCAATTCAGCAATTTCAAAACCACAAGGAGATTAATTATCGGCATTTCACTACTGTATAGAAGAAAATCCACTTAATTAGTTATGAGCCTGGAACATCTGAATTGCATGAGGTTAATCATTTCATCTTGCATTCTTGGGGTTTTTAGTCAAATCCTGTTGATACTTCTCATAGTCCTTTTTGCCTACTGTCCAACCTTCCAGCTGTCTATTGTTTACATTATGATTCAGAGTAAAAGTTTAACAGCCTGGTGTCCTTTAGAAGGGCTAAAGTTAGAGTCTGACATGATTCTCCAGTCACTCTCACCAGTTTCACAGCAGCATAACCCCACTGAGTTCAGGTGGTATGGTACAATGGAAAAACTGAAAGCAGAGCCAAGCCGATGTGTGCATACGGTAAAAAATGAACACAGGGCCAAGAAAATGAGAAAATAAATGTGTGATCTGTACTACATATAGAAAAGAATAACATTATTTAAAAAAATGCAGTTATAAACCAAAACTTACTTTGGGCTGGTGACAAAGGTAACGACAAATTTCCCCTATGTATAGGAACAGTGTTACATTGTATTTTGTACAGTCACTCCAAAACTGGCTGGCAGAAAATTTCTTCTTCAGAACACAAGTTGCTCCTAGTTGAGGAAGCAGTGAGAGAATTGAATAAATTGAAAATTACCATTAGGACCTGTTTTATCATCTGCCAGTGTTGAATACTACCAATTAAACATTTCTTCAATAATCTAACTGATGCTCAATATCACTAATTCTAAATAAATTGGGAAGGGTCTTTTTGTTACATGGGTCTAGCACAATGAGGGCTAGCCATTCCTCTTTTGGAGGTCATTGCATAGCTGCAATATGGGTAGAAATAATTATTGTTACTTTGCCTAATAATAAATAGTACTGAATGGACCCGATTTTATTGTCCTATCAGCTTTACACAGTGTAACTTCATTAATTTCAATTGATTTATGACAGATTAAAGTGGTGTAAACTAACAAAAGAATCAAGCCTTTGGTGATATTTTTAGCATTTTAGAAAATCCCAACCTAAATATTTTCCTTTCTGTTTCCAAAGGAAAATCTTATGAGACCTTACCACAGGTATTCTTCACGCTTTTTTTCCTTATAAAGCTATGCTCCTTTCTGTAGAAAAAAGCACATTCCAAATTCTGCCCTAACTTAAATGCTGTGCTATTAAGTTGCCTTTAAGTCAAAGCAAAGCTAGCAATTACCATTTAGCAACCTCCGGCCCCCTTATGAAGAGGCCATGTTTTAGCAGTCCTGCTTTCTAATTTACGGATACCAGTAGCCCTGGGAGTCATCACGGAAATTACAGGGGATACATAGCCATATCTGTCTTTCCTTTGGGTGCAGTTTGACTGGAGTGTTGACCTGATTTTCAGAATAGCTTCTGAGTTACCCCATAATGCATACATACATGCATGATGGCACTGATAGTCAAGCAGCCTCATATGTTTTATATGCCCTGTATACCTGCTTCAGCCTTTTGCTGTAGGGTACAACATGACTACTAAGCTTATGTCTGCAGTTTTATTAATGCTACCCATTCTCGATCCCTTGAAACATTGGGCCATTCAGTATGTGGAGCCTCCCCCAAGCTTTAAAAATTATAGGTACACATAGCCTCATATACAGCCTCATATATTGGCTGCATACTACAGGTGGTGATAGCAATGACAAAGTAATAAAAACTACATTTTAGAAGTCTTAATCAATTTAATATTTCCTGAAAGGGGTGGTATTATATAACTATGTTAATGGCAGCTATGCAAAACAGTATATTAGGAGATGTTTATTGTTTAAAACTGGAGGAAGCATAAAATGTTTATTGCTTAAAGCTGGAGGAAGACAGCATTGTTAAAAGACTGGCTGATGTCCAGTTTAATATCCAAACAAAAAAGGCAGGAAAAAATGCACTAAAGATAAAGGGCTAATCTGGTTTCTATATGCATACTATTAAATTTATAATTAAATATATTTAAAGGTTTAAAAAGAAACCAAAGAATAGTGTCATTACCATAGTATCAGATTACTGGAATTCGTGGATCTGGATCTGTGGCTATTTTAGCTGGCAAACACAGAAGTAGTGCTTGCAACTGCCATAACTGGACATGCTAATTGTGTGCAGAATTAACAACTACATGTGCACTTTACCATGTACCAACTACATTACACTTTTGAAAATGCATTATTAAAAAGGAAATACAGAAGATATTCAGCAGACTTCAAAACGATGTAGTAGTTTCAGCTTTGCATGACTTATTCATGCTTTGTTTCTTCCATTTCTGATTTTTGTTTTTTTATCTAGGTCCTTCTGTGCATATTATTATGATGTCTGTAGAATTGCATAAGTATAATCTGGGACTTAATCCTGTCCGCAGTATGTTTCATACTAATTAAATTGAATGAGTACTTATCTATCTGAAGAACTTCTTGATTTGAACTTTGACTTACTTCAAAGACTGACATAGTTATAAATGCAGAGTAACTGTAGTTCAGGCTATCCTCTCTTTCCCCTCCAATCCTTCCTTAATGATTTACAAAAAAAAAACCAGTCTGAGTTCATCACTAACTGTATTAATGTAATGCCTTGAAAGATAAATGTTACCTAATTCAATGCATCCACCAATACCAATGATCGAAGCACTTATGTGGTACAAGGGAAGAGTGATATACATAATGTCTTGAGAAGCTGCACCGCACCGAGCAAGTAATAGACAGCTAGTTAGTGCTTTAAGATGACTGATGACAGCAGCTTTTGGAAAACCTGACATAGGGAAGACAGGAAAAATATAAGTTACTTGTTTTTTCTGATGATTTCAGTACATGGACTGTGGAATTATTCATAGTATCTGTGGTGAAAATAATCTGTCTTCTATGACAGCGTCAGCTTTATTTTCTTTTTTTTCAGCAGTTGGACTTGTTAACGTCACTTCTTGGTCTCTCAGCTCTGTCTCTGATCTTCAAGGTTCTTCCATTCTCTCTTCCCATCTGTGTATGGAGCCTTCCTCACCACAGAGAAGGAAATTTTAAGGGGCTTTTAAGGATTTGTGCATCACCTGTACCACATGGGCTAAGTACAGACAGTCAAAAAGCCCGAGGCTGAATCAATTCAATCGTTGCAGATTAGTTTAAACTGTGTAGATTGAACCAATAAGCAAGTGAACAAACATTCACTCTTGATTCCAAAAATGCAGCCACATGCCTGCAGTGGCCCAGGCCAAAAGCCAGGGGGCACTAGAGCATACCACCCTGCTCTGCTAGAGCAGACAGCTTGGGCCAAGGCTAGCCTGCCCACCCTGCAAGGGTGGCGTTGCAGGAGAAGTACAAATCATCCTGCGTTGTTGGAGGACTGTGAGTTAACTTGAATCTGGAAGGGATCTGGGGCAGAAGTTCAATAAACCAATTTAACCTAAATCAGTTAAGTCTGATGCTACATCCAGGTTTATCTTAAACTGGTTTCTGCCATTTTGAAAGGAGTTTATGTGCACTGAACTTCTGTTGTGATACAGTTCTGAACCGGTTTCTGATCACTTACACTGGTTTATGTGTGATTTCTGTCCCTAGTCATGCAGTCCATGTGCATCCATATATACTAGGGTGGAGTATCCTCAGCAACTTGCTTAGCTTGACTTGAGAAGAATGGATTCCTCTTCCCCTTTCCTTTGCAGAGTTCCCTAACATCCATTTTCATATTTCCAGCTAACTACAGGGGAAACAATTTACCCCTCTATCTACTACTCAGAAGGAGCACATCTACACATGCAATTAAGCTGACTCAATAAACTCTGGAGCCCTTTCAGCTGGAGTCAGATGCTTCTGGGTATAGCATCTGTATGTGCATTGGAAACAACAGCAGTTTGAGCGAGGGCAGAGTAGACCTGGGCTGGCATCAGACTCAGGGGGCCAGGCCTAGGCTCCAGTGGCAGCATCAAGTGGTGAAGGGGCTGGGTGGGGCACAAGAGTGGTAACGTGCAGGGCCATGTGGCCCGCAGCGCCCACACTTTAGCACCCTCATGCCCCAGCCAGCCCCTGTCACCATCTACATGTGCATTTCCATGCATGTAATTACTATCCTACAGTGAAGTTAATTAAATTACTGCATTCTAATACCAGTGCATGTGTAGACAGTGACACTTTATGACAGAGCTAATTAGTCAACTCTGCAGTAAAACACATGTGTAGATGCACCCAGAGAGACTACATCATTTTTCATGTGGATCTGCCTTTGTGACTATACTTTGTACATAACTGTGGAATCCTAGTATCTTTCAAAGACTTTGAGCAGAATCTTGTTTCATTTGACATGCTTCTTGAAGCTGAGCCACTGCACCTTGCATTTAATATCCATTAGCTAAAATGTAGAGTACAATAGTAAATTGTCTGCCCCACTGGGAGCAAGATCCAGGCTAGAATCCAGGGCCATCTCTTTCAGAGTAATCTCACCGAGCCATACACCCTCTAGCATGTTTTCTTTCTCCTACTTCCATGCATCTTCCTCTCTTGCCTGCCCAAGGGGCCAGCTTCAAGAGGAGGGCTAGAAAGGGACCTGCCTAATTCCTAACCTGTGATCAGGTGGGTAGAGCTTGGGAAGTAGGAGAGAGGTAGGTTCAAATTCCCTTTGAGGTATTGGGGAGTATAGAACCTAGGTCTCCCACTTCCTAGGCAAGTTCTCTGTTCTCTTAGATATTGGGCTAAAATATGAAAGGATTTGTCTCTTCCTCCTTATGTCTAACACTGACTAGTCTTTGTTTCATTTGGCTACAATTTCAGAAGTTATCTTGCTTAGGTATGCATTTACAGAGATGTGTGGCCAGAGCGCAGCAAACTGTGCATGCTTAGTAGCTGCGTGGATGCTTGTGCATCCCCACATCATGTGGAAGTGCATCTGTGTGTAAGTGCCAAAACCAGCAGTTACGCATCTAGATAAGTGCCACTGGGGCACATACACTCAAATAGGACTCTACACATTCCCTCTCACTCTGTTCTTAGCTTGGTAACTTAAGAAGCTAAATTGTGGCATGGTATATGTACAAAATGGCACTGACTTCAGTAGAATTATGGCAATTTATGCCAATGAAAAAAAAAAGGCATGTTCATAAGTAACAAATGCTCATGCAGCATCTATATGTTTAGCTGTGGGACCATTTGAACATGGATTTCATTTTTATATTATTATAATTTCACATATATATTATAATTAATACTACAACTACATATAAAATATATATATTATAATTAATAGTATAACTTCACCTGTACTCCCTGATGTGAAAATATACAGAGCTGTGTTGGTCATTCTAGTTTGATCTGTAAGGTGAGGTGGAACAGGATTATCAGAAACGTTATCTAGTTTGTCTAGTAAAGTGTCAACATGTTGGAAAGAAGAACTCTTGCTCATCAGCCAGATCCCAATGTTGTTTTTCAGGAGCTGAAAAATAAAATCTTCCTCCAGGCAGCCCAAACAGTCTGCAGTTAAAGAAAGAATAGAATAGATATTTCAGTATCTATAATTGAAGTTTATTTCATAGATTTCATAGACATTAGTGCTGGAAAGGACCTCAGAAGATCATTGAGTCCAGCCCCCCATCCACAGGGCAGGAAGTCAGCTGGGGTCATAGGATCCCAGCAAGATAAGCATCCAATTTGCTCTTGAAGGTGTTCAATGCAGGTGCTTGAACCACCTCCGATGGCAGGCTATTCCAGACCTTGGGGGCTCGGACAGTAAAGAAATTCTTCCTTATGTCCAGCCTGAAATGGTCTTGAGGTAGTTTATAACCGTTCGACCTTGTCATCCCTTGGGGTGCTCTGGTGAACAAACGCTCCCCTAGATTCTTGTGGTCACCCCTGATAAACTTGTAGGTGGCCATTAGATCACCCCTGAGCCTGCGCTTTTCCAGGCTAAAGAGCCCCATGGCTCTCAGCCTGTCATCGTAAGGTCTGTTTTCCTGACCTCTGATCATGTGCATGGCTCTTCTCTGGACTCTGTCAAGCTTTTCCACATCCTTTTTGAATTGTGGAGCCCAAAACTGGACGCAGTACTCCAGCTGCGGCCTCACCAAGGCCGAGTACAAGGGGAGAATGACGTCCCTGGATTTGCTTGAGAAGCATCTATGGATGCAAGCCAACCTTTTGGTCACTCTACTAGCTGTAGCATCATGTTGCAGGCTCATGTTCATAAACTGCTAGAAATGCACTGCTAAATTTGCACACAGTTCACCTCTCTCAGGGTGACTCTGATAGGGTAAACCCCACTTAGATGACCATCTAATGAAGTCTTTGAAAGGATTAGCACAGAGGTTTCTTTCCCCAGGGTCCCTCGGGTAAAATTTTTACTATGAAAGGGACAGGTGCATCGCTGAATGCCCCCAAATATGCTAATAGGATGTGGGTTTAAACATGAATTTTTAAGTGCAGAACACACTGCAGACAACTTATTTAATTCCCACAAAATGTATGTGAAACATAGTAATGCAGTTTTCCTTATTTTGCAGATAAAGAAACAGGTATGAAAATGTTAAACAAATAGCAAGTCAGTGTCAAGGCCAGAGTTACAGCTTAGGACCTATTCAAATTCAAACTGCTACTGATGGAAATAAAACATTAAAAGACTTTAGAATATGTCTTTACTGTTCAATTAAAAAGCCAGGCACAACAATACTAAGACAGGCTGGCCTACTCCGTGTGTGCTGCCTCCTGAACCAGCATTAGGGTAACTTATTTAGGACAGTGCTGCATGCATCAATAAACTCTCTCTCCACCTTTCAACAGATCTTATTGGTGCAAGCGCAGCACTACACTCAGATGGTAGCTTTACTTGATGGCTACTTTGCTTCCAGTTTGGGAGCTAGCACTCATGGGCTGGGTGCACCATTTCACAATAGGTCCTGCCTGGTGCTATCGGTGAGCCGTGTAGACATACCTTTAGTAGATCACCCATTCTACTGCTCTGATGATACAAGGTTGTTCTTTTCGACATTTTATAATGCTTTTTCCAGTGATAATCTGTCTACATTGTCTTAATTTTATCTCTTAATTCCTGATTTTGTACCCTGTTACCATGCCAATTAAACTTATTTCTTGGTGTTTATACCCTTCACAATTATATCAAGCTATTGTGCTCACTTTAGCATTGTTTTCCCAAGCTATATATATTTCATTCATATCCTTCTGAAGGTTAGTCCTACCAATTCTTGCTGTTCTTCTTATTACTTCCTCGAATTTTTCCAGATTTTTCTAACAATGGTAAGATCAGAACTAAATGACCTATTAGCATCAGGGCTGCCATTTCTGTTGATTTCACCTATATGTTGAAGGGTATCTTTTTCTACCAAGTTACTCTTTCCCTAGAAATCTCTTTCAGGGACTGTCTATACATAATGCTGAGGCACACAGATACCCATGCTTGCTGCGGTATTAGTAGTCTAGCTCTCTCCTTAAGATAATATACTTTGCTTCTCAACCAGGATACTTGGAGAAACACTGCCACTGATATTGCGATGCTGCTTCTGGTATCCAAAATAGTTCATTCAGAGTACACGCTGAAATTATACTCACATTGGCCTACCTTGGGTTAGGTCAATCTAAGTGCCAGACTGTACATACATTTGGAGAGTCTAGACTGGGCGAAAATGGCCAGCCCAGTATAATTTAGTTCATCTGAGGAGGTGCAGTATGTATATCCAGCTAACTCATGGCCAATCTATGTAAATCCAGGCAACCCATGGCTAAACCCAGGAGCACAGCCCTGGGGCTGGGAAAGTCCAGCTGCTCAACCGAGCCCCAGGGCTGTGCTTTTCTTACCTCCTGCCCCAATCCTGACAGGGTTTTTTTAGCCCTCCAAAACCCTCACCTCTGGACCTGCCAGCCCACCAACCACTCCCAGGCCTGCCAACCCCCTCTGCAGACCTGCTACCCTCTCCCCTGATACTGCCTACCTCTCCTCTCCCCACACCTTGTCTTAGACAGCATTCCTAGAGCAGCTCCCAGCACTGGTGAACATGCAGGGGACACAACAAACAAGCAAGGATCTGATCTGTGATCGCTCAGTTTAAAGTAAGCCATGTGACTGTAGATCCAGTCCCAGCAACATCTGCATGTGCCCTGAGTTAACATCATTTTGCCTTGTAGAGCACCCCTCAATGTGCCATTTTATTCAACATAAAACTTAAGAAACATAAACCAAGATAGTCCCTCTACCCACCCCAGACCACCATTCCCAGAGACTTTGTTTCCTTCAGTCTCCCTACTTTGGCATCTAATGCAGGAACCTCTCTCTCTCTCTCCTGCCACACTCTGCTATTGCTCTCCCAGCCTTTAAGTAGAATGCCTGACTCTGGATTTAAAAGCTCTACAGGCCTGGCTAGATCTAGACCTCTGACTCTCAGATGTCGAGCCTGTTACAGATCAGTTTAGGTTTTCATAATGGAAGCAGATTAACTTTGTGGAGATGGTCTGTGGGAGGCAATAAAACCTATTGGTAGGATTAAGACATAGACTAGTACTAATATGGGAGATAAGAGCTTCTGTATCCTGTGGGGGTTCACATGCTAGTAGAATGAGGGCATGGCAACTCCCTCCCAATGAACTGAGGGCCTCAAATTGCAGTAATAAGCATTTAGCATAGCTGTATCAGCACAGACTTAATGGGCATCTGTAGATGTGCCGGGAGCCTGCTCCAATGCGCTGTAATTACAGCATGTCAGAGCAGACTCAATTAATCAAGTCTGCTGGAGCATGCTAATTATCATGCTCCAGCCAGCCTGAACATCTCATGTATCAGCACCTCTATGCTTCAAAATGGCATCAGGGGCACTTTAACTAAAGTTAATTTAATGAGCTTTAGTTAAAGTGCCCCCAACATCATTTTCAAGCTCAGGGACATTGATACACAAGACCCTGTGGGCACTTAAATTAGTTTTCAGCAGCTCTAATTAAAACATCCATCCTCCCCGTTCCCCCACCAGAGCACATGTAAAAACACCCAACGTAAACAGGCAAAGCCACTATTTGTACTACTTAAGTTTATCCCTGCTTGAAACCATGGAAGAAATAGTTTCAATTAGTTACAGGAGAGGGAGTCTTTGACTGTCTACTGGTATAGCTTCAGGAGTGACTGCAAGCTTGGCAAATCTTGACTCTGGTGACAGTCTAATCTAATATATGCAAATTTATGCACATTAATAAATTCTACTGTAATCCTCCTTGTGATGAGTTTACATGATCAACCCACAACTCTGGCTCTTTCCACTTTACTTAGCATAAAAAGTAAGAGAATGAAAATTTAGAATAACTGACCAATAACACAGGATTTACCTGCTCCTATCACTAATGCTCTTGCAGCAGAGTTGTTAACACAGTGCAGGAGGGACCTGGAGTGGAGGTTGAAGTTGAGGAAAGTTACCACAAAGCCCAGTTTAGCCAGTCCAAACCACACATGGATGAAGTCAGGCTCGTTGCTCATCAGGAGGGCTATGGTGTCTCCCTTTTTCAGAGCCTCCTGGCGCAGGAAGACCTGAGCTACCTTGTTACTTCTTCTGTCCACATCCTGGTAAGTGTGGACATTCCCTTCATAGATGATGAATGGCTTATTTGGAGTCTTTTGTACTTGTAGCATAAAAAGATCAGTCAGTGAGCAGATTCCCTTACTTGCCCTCCTTGTTATCCTCATTTTAAATCTGATCTGCCTCATGAAGTAATTCAGGTCTTCCCAAAAATATGGAGACAGGAACTTCAAAGAAACATACAACATTACTGCTCCTGCAGCAAGCGCTGAAAGCCACATGCATAACACGGTGCTAGTAAAAACAACACACATAAATTCATTACTGATACAAAGCATAACATTAATATAGTCATCAAGGGTTTATGGGTCTTACAATGTCTGCAGAAAATGCTTTCACACCTTGGAAACTCCCCATTAAAGAAGAAGGAATTTGCAAACACCACACAGAACAGATAATGCATGTAGAAAAACATAAAGTCTGCAAAAATGAAAATGTTCTAGCTTTCACAAGCTTATAAAATAAGTTTGATGTATGCCCCAAGATATTCTCAAGTTATGGGTGGATTTCAATAAACACCAATCAACCGAAAATGAAAAAAAGCACTCCTCTAAGCCCTTTAATTTGTAAATGGCTTTCCTGGTTAACCTCAGTTTTCCCAAACATCAATTTTCTCCTCTGAGATTAGTCATGTCAAATATCATGCCAAAATTAGCTTGCTTTTTAAAAAGTTGGAAGTGGCTCAAAATTAGTCCTAGAAATGGAACTAGACTTGCTTTTTTTTACCCTTGAGTCACTTTTATGGCTCCACAGTACCATACTGTCTCCTAAATTTTCAACTGTTGCTGTTTTTACTAAGTGTGCCACCCCTGCACATCTAATGAAACTCCAATGGGCAAATATTTTGGTAATGAGTATTGAGTACTATTGAGACCTTCATACTACTCCGGTATAGGTTAGAATTATTATTGGGGTTCCTCTGCCACTTGTATAGCTCTACAAGAATTTGTGGCACACCCAATTCTAAAATCCACATTATGGTTAATAAAAATGGCAGCATTTATAAACTAGGAGGAAACGTGGACATAACTGACATGAGAAAATAATTTATGAAAAGTATGATAACGTAAAACAAGGCCTATGAGCCAATTGCCTTTTGGCAAGATGATAATTTAAGGATGGGTAAGTAACAGATCCACTGCAATATGCTCATGGAGTGAGCATACCTCAAGGCCAGGTGTACAGAAAGGATATTAACAACCCCTCCTGTGAGAAGACCTGTCCCTTATTTTTCATTCTTTTTAAAATAAATACAATATATGGGGCAGAGAAATGCTGAACAGAGTAAGATTTAAACAGAGAAAGGTAATGGCTAATACAGAATAGATAGGCAAGGAACCCAGCAGTGAGTGCTGGAGAAAGGTATGCATCCTTTATCTTGCCTTTCCACACTCAAAAGCGAAAAAAAGAAGGGGAGGCAGGGAGATTGAAAGGATAAATAAATGGGAACTTTTATCGAGAACACAAAAGTATTTATTATGTCTACTTTAGGAAAGACGATATGGACAAAGAAATACTTTTTGTGTGATTTCCCTCAGAATTTTTTCCAAATTTTCCTCTGGAGAAAGAAGTAGGGACAAGATTTTCCTTGCCATGTGTGGAAAGAACAAAAGCCTGACTGTAAAATGCAAAATCATCTGGAGATATGGGTCTACTCATGTGAAGTAATAGTTCCAGAGTTTTTTTGACCTGTCTAGCTTCTTCAGAGAATCCAACATCAAGAGGATTCTCTCTGTCTGTTCCTCATCATAAGACAATGGAGAATTCCACAGCACCCAGAAGGCTGGAATCTAGCACTAGTGTTGGAGTCTAGCATTGGACTGATACATGTGCCTACCTTTGGCTTCACTTTCCTGACCCACCCTATTTCTTCCACTTCTGACCCTCTGGATCCATTGAGGTGAGGCCTTCGGTATGTCCAAGAAATTAAGTGACTAAGTTGTAAAAGTACCTTACCCACACTCTTTCAAATAAGGAAACTGGTTAACACAGCATGTTATATTAAATCTAGAGAGTTTCAAGAGATTATGCACATTGGAAGGAACATATTTAAGTATTCATGTACTCTGATGAACAATTTCTTGGGGAAAAAAGGCATAATTGTGAATAACTCAGAGATAATATCCAAGATGTATATGGTGGTGTGGACTGAAATTGTAGCCATGATAGTCCATGAAATATGCAGAAGGCAAGGATTTTTTTGGAGCAATATATTTTATTAGACCAACTGTGAAGTTGGAGGAGGTCTTGGACAATATTTTGGGCAAAAGTTATCTTTCCTCAAGTTGTATATGATCTGCACAGTATCCAAAGTGTGCAAAGCCAGTATCTGATTCTTCCTGAAAAATCTGACTTTAAGTTGCTGCTATTTTAAAGTTAGAAAATCAGTAATATTTTAAAATGTAGGTTTTAAAGGAGGGAGGCTCATAGATAAGGGTCTGTGTTGGTCCTCTCCAAATCCTCTATTTAGTTTGCCTATTCAAATTCATGTGAATCCATTTTATTGGCATTTTGCTTCTCTAGCTGTTTAGATTTGCTTCCCTGCATAACCAGAAACAGGCTAATATAATACTGTGCCTCAGTGTATCATGGAACATTTTCTGTAGAGCTTTGGAAAGGACATTTTGGCAAACAAAACAGATTGATCTAATCATTCCTTTTTTCTTCTATTAGTTTATGGCCAGCATGATATTTCTTAGATTTCCTTTGTCTAAATTTGACTGATCAGAAAAAACCTAAGACAAAATATATAGAAAAGTATTGGTAGTATTCCATACTTTTTAACCTGTCTTCTTAGAACTTCAAGATTTTGATCACACAGGTTTATAACATTATTAGAGATGACCAATAGTTTTATATTGGTCTGAATAGGTGCTGTGTATACTATTTGTTCTGTGGGAGTTCTGTATATTTGTGGTATAGTTTATGGTAACATAAGGTATTAAATTTCAAACTGAGCGTCATTGCTGGAAACGTGTGAAGTGTGAAACACTGGTGATGCTCCCAGTTACCTAAACTCATGAATGACGCATGTCCCCGGAGGCTGGGGGGGCATGGCGACCATCCACAGGTGGTGGTTCTGGCAGCAGGGGCATGGCAGGAGCGAGCAGGGAGCTCCTGCAGACAGCTGTGGCAGTATCAGCAGCGGGGAGAGGGGGTGGCAAGCACCAACCAGCGGTCAGTGACCATCCACAGATGCTGCCGGCAGCATCAGTGGCAGTCAGCAGTGATCAGCAACTGCTTGCAGAAGCCGCTGGCGGCGTTGGTGGCTGGGGGAGGGTAGCAAGTGGCACCCGCCCATAGGCACCGTTGGCAGCAGCGGTGGCAGCCAATCGTAGATCATGCACCCCCAACGTGTCACCAATGTCTTAACTTGGGGAATGGAAAAATCATAATTACAAGGCAGAAATTATTCCCAGTTTAACAACCAGAATCAGCTACGCACTCTATATATAGAATGTCACTCCAAAAGTGTTTTTGGTTGGGGTTTTTTTCCCAAATTCAGGATATGCTAATGAAAACATATTTCCAATAAATCATTGTTAACTTGGTTGCCACAGATCGTCAAATTATTTGTTATGAACACAGTGCCTGAAGACAGTATTTTTAGCTTTAAGTTCTTGTTTTCATGTTTTCTCTGCAAACACGAGGACTAATTATTTTTAAATGAAAGCTAAAATTCTCAATTGAGGTAAAAAAAATCATTTCCTGTAGAAACAAATTAGAAAATTTTGTAAGTTGAATCAAAAAAAAGAAATGCATATATCAAGCATTAAGCTGTTTGTTTTGGTAGATTACAGTAACAGTAAAAATGCCTGTGCAATGAGTCAAAATGCCTCCAAATTTACTTGCTCTTACAAATGACACAGCCAATACATTGTAAATAGTAGATAACATCAACAAACCAGCCTTGTCTTACCACCAATTCATTTCTTCTTTAGTTTCTGGGATCTAATTATATCTCTCTGCTGGGTCTGCTTGTACTTTCAGAAGAAAATTTAATAGATTATCCAGTTACGTTTATCTTATTCTGTGGCTATACTTGAAATGGTTTGAAGGGGAGAGGCTGTGTCCAAAGTCCCCAAGCCTCCTCTTGTTTTTAATCCTAATATTCCCACTGGCTGCGAGTGAGTGAGTGAGTGAAATAGTATTAGAAAGATGTACTCTGCAGTCTGGTTATTTTTTGTCAAATAAGTGTTAATCTTTAAGAAGTACCTGAGAGACCAAACTGAATATATCTGCTTTGTTTCTTGATTAGGAGTATAAAGACAATAATTAATCGATATGATCAAAGGTATGTAGTAAGATATATGATCAAAGTTATATATGATCAAAGTTATATAGTAAGATATATGTTATGAATCCAAGGAAATGATCTGTTGCAGTGGCTGGAGTGACATCAGGGAGCAAGTTTAATCATATATTTCAGTGCACCTAAATTTGTATCCCATCTAGTTATGTTAATTTCTACAGCATTTAGTCACAAGTCTTCTGGTATTTCACCAGCAGAATGTTCATGTTCTGTGTGATGGGCATTTTTAGGCATTTTAAAAAATGTTCATAGAATCATAGAAGTAGGGTCAGAAGGGACCTTGTAGATCTTCAAGTCCGACCCCCTGCCTGGGCAGGAGAAAAAACTGGGCTCAAATGATCCCAGCTAGGTAGGCATCAAGCCTCTTCTTAAAGACTCCCAGGGTAGGAGCAAGCACCACTTCCCTTGGAAGTTGGTTCCAGATCCTAGCCACCATGACTGTGAAATAGTTCTTACGGATGTCTAATCTAACTTACGGATATCTAAAATAAAATTCTTCATTGAACACATTTTGCAAACCTAAAGTCATAAGTACTCAGGCATCACAAGACTTGTCCACAATTAATCATAAGTACAGGAAAGGACTTTATTCTTATTCTATCCATTCTGTGTATTGCTATTCTTAAAAATAGATACTTAAATATAAATCATTAGCTTTAGCATAAACACGTATCATAGGTTAATATATCAAAGGATTTGTTTTGTATGCACATGAAGAAAGGGTTCAGAACTCCATCTTCTGAAACTGAAATTTCCAAAAACCGTATTTTAAAATTCATCTAATATTTGGAAAATAAATATGCAAAATTTGACTGCATTCATACCTCATCCATTATTTTTGTCAAACATATATGATGACCTACCGTATGTTTGTATAAATGCTTGTTGAGGCTTAGTTATTCATATGACTATCATATTCATATGCAAAACATAGTGCATAAAGAAGACTAGACCTTAATTCCTAATTTATTTTCCTGTAAAACTGTATTCTCATGAAATGAAATACCATGTAAGTTGAATGATCGAGCTCATAACAAATAATTTTAAACTGTAAATGACCATAGAGAGCAAATAATAAGTAATCAATAGACTATCATTGTTTTCACATATAAGCTGAAGAATAACCAACAGACTGGGTGGGGAGGGGGAGTTGACTCATAGTTGTGTGTCCTGTTTACAGACTTCATCTGTCAACTCTTTAAATTATGGATTATTCACTCTGTTCCATTTAGAGGACTACTCTGGTTCTGGCAATATAATGTGCCATGGACTGGTGTATCGGACCAGCGAATTTCCAAAATGGCCCTGAAAAGGGTAGGGTAGAATTTATCTTCACCTATGCCAGACTTAGCCAATCATCCTGGGTGGCGAGAGGGATCACAGGGGTCATGTGAACAAAAGCATACGGTTAAGAACTTAGCTCACTGGAATATTGGAAAGGAACATTGCCTTGAGTCAATTAAATAGTTCAACTGAACTCAATTCAGTAGTTTAGGAAGAGCAGATCTGGAATGAACTGACCCATGAAAGATTGAGAAAAACAAGAAAAGAAGGACTAGGGAGGAGGATTAAGCTAAAATACTTTCCAGATCTTCTTGTTAGAAGGGTATGGAAAGTGATCATCAGGAGCCAGCAGAGAAAAGTGGAATCTGAGGAAGCCTGCAAAAAGGAAAGCCTCATTAGCAAGGATCTGAGTTTTCTGTTCGCCGCAGAAAAGCACAGATTTTATCATTTTAAGGAGAAAAAGGAAAAAAAGCATGGGAAATGCTCGGTTTCACCTTGTAGGCTGGCAGAGTTCCAGTCTGCAAGGGGCTGGGAGGAGGGCAATCAGGCAGAGGGCACCGTGTGCATATATACACATACACATGCATGTGGCAGCCAGGCAGTGTGGAGAGGAGTTCTTGCAGGTATGTTGGAGGGGAGGGGAAGGATTGAGGCCCCCTAGTGAGGGCAGGTGGGACTTGGTCAGGGCTGGGGCTGGGGTTGGGGGTGCTGCCCAGGTGGAGCAGTGCGTGGAGCTTGGGGTCTGGGGCCAGGGCAGAAATTTGCAGCCGCAGGGCCCAGCTGCAGAGTGGGACAGAGCCATGGGTGCGTCATCCAGAGGGTGACAGAAGGGCTTGCTCCCCACCACTGCATGAACTCCTGGGGGAGGAAATGGGGGCATGTGCCCCCCAGATTTGCGCATGGGACAGGGGTGAATGTGGGCTGGCCACTATGGGTTCAGGGTTTCCTGCCCTGCTGCCCTCCCCCTGGGGGCCTCTGTGGCCCAGCAGGCAGGACCCACTGTAGCAGGGCAGAATGGAGCAGGGAGACTTGATGCTGCTGCTGGGAACTCTGTATTGTCATGGCAAGGCACCCCTGCCTGTCCAGCAACAGCAGACGTGGCAGCAGAGAGTTGTGCCCCCTGCTGCTGCCAGGTGGGCAGGGAATGCCTCATTATGCGGCTCAGGGCTCTCAGCAGTGGCACCAAAGTTCTCCACCCTGCTCTGCCCTGCTGCACTGGGTCCCGCCTGCTGGGCTGCAGAGGCTCCTGGGGGGAGGGCAGCAGGGCAGAGATCCCTGAGCCCGCAGCTGCCTGCCTGCATCCACCTCATTCCACGGGCTCCACCCCAGCCCTGCCACTGGTGGGGGAGGGGGAACCAGCCAGAAGCTGCTGCCTCCCACAGATGGTAGCCAGGGCTCGGGCACTGCTGGGGCATGGGGCATGAGGCATGGAGCTGCAGATGTGGGTCCCTGGCCTCATAGCCCTGGCAGCTGAGGGTCCCCTTCTGGCAGGGCTAGGATGAACAGGGAGCTGCAGGTCATGAGTGGGGGGCAGCAGCAGGAGTGGGGGGGCTGTGGTTTGGGGAGTGAGGGCCACTAGCAGGGCTAGAGGGCTGTGGAGTGGGAGTGAGGGGCACCTGGGCCATATAGGGGGCTGTAGGTGGGGAGTGAGGGGTACCAGCAGGGCCAGGGGGCTGTGGCTTGGGAGTGAGGGGCAATGGCATGGGTAGATCACAAGCATATCAGGACTGCTTAGTGCCACAAAGCAGTAGCGGGGACAGCCACAGCTGGATCTGTGTCCCAGTGAGCAAAGGGGGCAAGGGAAACTTTGATTTTCCATGATAAAACCAAAATCAAATGCCAAAATGTATAGGTATTTAAAATTTACTTTATTAACAGGGATCCAGATCTTCTGTTTCCCACAGAAAACTGGAAAAAACACGGATATCCCCCTTTACCAAAGCAAAGCACAGATTTCTCATTTTAGCAGAGATTTTGTAGTTTTCCAAAGAACTCTCTGCAGGTTGGCGGAGTTGAAGGCTGCAGAGACTGGGAGGGAGCAGGAGGAGGGTGGTCAGTCAGAGGGTGCCATGCGCATGTATATACACCAGGCTTGTCCAACATACGGCCCATGGGCCGCCACGTGGCCCTCCACACTGTTTTCTGAGGCTTGAGGTGCTGTGACGGGAAACGAAAGTAAACACTGTACTTTCGTTTTGTGGGGGTGATGTGATACTGCTTCCTGTGAGGTCTTTGAATATGGCTTGCTGGCCCACTGGGTGATAAAAAGTTCATGATCCGGCCCCACATTCAAAAAGGTTGGACACCCCTGACATACATGGCCTTATGCAGCCTGGAGAGAGCTCCCACATGTAAGTGGGGGCAGGGGGGAAATTGAGGCCCCCATCAGGAGGGAGCAAGTTGGACAGGGCTGGGGCTGGGGCTGGGGCCGGAGCTACTGCCCAGCTAAGCAGTTGCTTCCTGAGAATAGGAAATGTCAGAACATTGCCTTTTTCTGGTTTTGAATGCAACTAATCAACACACAGAACATCATTGTAAATATTTTAGGAGCCTTTTGTATGACAAAGGCTGCATGTATACAAGACATTGACTGTGCAGTAGCCTAATAATATTGTTGAGTAGTGCCTCACAACACCAACAGTGCTAATACACTATTGCACAGTATTATTAAGCTACTGTGTAGTAGCATAACTTAGAAGTCATTCACCAGCACTACTGAATGGTAACTCTAATTACTGCACATTTATGTAGTAATTGCTAAGACAAGTAATACATAAATGTGCAGTAACAACTAAATGCACTACTACTGCAGAGCAGCATCTCATGTAGATGCACCCAAAGTGTGGTTAATAGTAAATGCAATTAATAGTAAGATGCATTTTTATTCTTTATAAGCCGTATTAGCTAAGGAGAGTTGCAGCTACTGTCACCGGTCCAAATCTTATAGTTTCATAGTTTCATAGTAGGTAAGGTCAGGAGGGACCTGAACAGATCATCTAGCCTGACCCCCTGCCACAGGCAGGAGTGAATGCTGGGTTCACAAGACCCCAAACAGGTCATCATCTAACCTCTTTTTGAATTTACCCAAGGTAGGGGCAAGGACCACTTCCCTAAGAAATTGGTTCCAGATCCTGGCCACCCTAACTGTAAAATATTGCCTTCTGATCTCTAACCTAAACCTATTCTCCATCATCTTATTACCATTGTTCCTCATCACCCCAGGTGGTGCTGGGGAGAAGAGGGCTCTTCCTATTTGCTGATGATCTCCCCTGATGAGTTTGTAGGCAGCCACCAGATCCCCCCTCAGCCTCCTCTTGCCAAGGCTGAACAGGTTCAGGTCCCTCAGTCTCTTCTTATAGGGCCTGTCCTGCTGCCCTCTCACCAAACAGGTGGCCCTCCTCTGAACCCTCTCCAGGCTGGCCACATCCTTTTTAAAGTGCGGTGCCCAGTACTGGACATAGTACTCCAACTGCAGCCTGACCAATGTCGCATAGAGGGGGAGTATCACCTCGCTGGACTGGCTTGAGAT